TTTTTTTTTTTTTTTTCCTTTTTTTTCTCTTCTTGAAAAGGTTCTCTTTCTCTGTTCTTCGATGGCCACGCGTTTCCAAAGACTGTGTACAATATTTTTTCGTACGCCTGCGCCGTCGTTCGCGCGAACGCGCGTCCTCCCCTTGGTTTTTTCGAACTGTTACTAGGCTTGTTTCTTAATAAACTTGTTTTTTTGTTTGTTAGAACGGGAGCGGAACTGGAGGCGAATCCGGTGGACGGGGCAACGGGTGAGTACGAGATTATCGATCAACGTGGTGTGTAATTACCACCACGTGTTCGTGCTACTTTTACCCCTTTTTCTCTTCTCTGCAAATATTTTCTAAAATACATTTCTTCTGTGTGTATGCGACCTTGATGATTGGAATATTATTTTTATCAATGAAAAGACATAGCAATAGTCTTCTTCTTGTGTCGTAACGAAAGTTGAATTTTAATTTAGTATTTGATTAGATTAGAAAAATAGATGATCCAAATTATTTTTGCATTTTTATTTTTATCATATAGAATATATAGCAGATAAAAATTATGTATGAAAACGTGAACGCGCGAGATTATATCGGAAATTATGCAATTTTTCGAAAAGAACTTTCACTTTGGAACTTTGAAAATTACATTTTCAACGTAGAGGTAAATCATTGGAAAAACTTTCGAGGAATTCAAGTAAAATGATTTATGGGAAAACTGAGGAATATAAAAACGAAGGAATAGTAGAGGGAAGAAATTTTTATAGGGAATAACTATGAATCCTGCATTCATAGTTCGCATTCGTACGGGGTCCCGTCGTCCTGAGAAGATTTCGAAATTCTCTTCTATCCCTTTTTCGTGAACGTAAGTCATAAGGGTAGATTCGATAGAAAGAATTTGAAGACAATTCGTCGCCAGAGATATTGGTCGAAATTCTCTAGGATAAAATTCCACGACTTTCATTTCTCATTTGGTCGAGAAAGAAATCGGAGAAAAGATATTATAAAAATCCTGTCGATACGTTTCTATAAAAATTCTCTTCGGTTTTCCAATGATAGGAAAATTGACAGGGTTCTGTCAGATTGTCTTTTCTTTTTAGTTAGATAAAATGAAACGTAATTGATTTGATTTATTCCATTTATACTTTTTACTTATAATAGTATAAAAATATAAAAAATACCATCTTAAATCATATGATTATATTTATATTATTAAAAAATTATTTTTCGTTCCATTAGAATTAAATTTTTAATAATAATAATCCACTCTCATTATCGTATTCATTACGAATTAATATTTCCAAGCCCAATAAATATTTTAGTTCCAATTACAGAAACAAATCGTTCCATCGACTATTTCATTCACCAAGAACGATATCCTTTTCTTTATCCATTTGATACAACAAAGCTTAGCTCTTGATCCAGACACCGGTTGACATAAAAACCAAGATGTTCATCGAGTGACAAGCCTCTTAAAGGGGGTCAACGCTGAAAGTGCCACTTAATCGTTGCAATTCCGACCTCTGACTTCCGGCGTAATCGATAATCTCAGTTCAAAGACAATTTCTTTCTTCGATTTCTTTCGCCAAGATATCCAAAAGAAACCACAAAATTTATCTATTGCTCTTCTCTTCTCGAGACTTTTAAGATCAATTATTTTAAAATATTTTCAACCGATATTTTCATAAATATCTTGAGAAAATTTATTTACTTTCACCGACACGATTAATCCTTTTGAATTGATTCGAATCAAATTTTAAAATTTGATAGGTCATATATCGTTATCCATAGAATTATTTATTCGTTTTATTTCGTTGCTATCAGTTCTCTGATTTGATTCTAAAAAAATTAATCGCGAAGTAATGAATCGATTCTTTCTGCATCGGGTTGTTTCTTTCTTTATATATCGGATTGAGAGCCAAGGCCCCCCATTTGTATTGATACTTTTGTCGTAAAAGTCGACCGTCTCTTTGTTCAATGTTTAGTCGATCGCGTTACGAGCACGTGGAATTGCTGATTAAACTGGTATAATAGCGATCGATCTTCAACGTATATAGGAAATTTATTGCTCGATAATTAAATTGCTCCAAGTCGTTTTCGTTGGATTTCAATGGGGATTACCCTTCTTCGATCTTTCAAAAAAGGAAAAAAAAAAATTAACGAACCTTGATCGTTACATTGATTAAAAAATCGTGGAAAAATCAATGGTGATTGCAACAATTGTAATTCTTAAGTTTTGGAAAAATAAAAATTAAATTATGCAAAATTTGCGAGTGTTGTACTTGAAATAAAACAAGTATTGTTATAATGATCATTCAATTTAAAAAATTTTTTAAACTGTTATTAAAAAGAAATCATTTGATAATTGTTATTTAAAAAAATTTTCAATATTATGAATCTTATCAATTACTTGATTGTATCGAGATTTTATTAAATAATATATTTACAATATATTGCTTATTCCTTTATGAACTTATTGTATGAAATTAAATACACACAAAAGTGATTTTAACATTTTAATATTTTAAAGAATTCTTTGTTGCAATAATTATCTTGAGAAATTTGAAAAAATTTGAATATACTTGACATAAAGGTACTTGCGTGTTTTTCTGAATAAAAAAGTGAAGGAAAAAGAGAGACGATAATAAGAGAAACGGTTTCAAAGTGACAGATTACATTGCTTAACGAAGCCATTTAATTTGATTGAATGATAAATTTCCCAACGAAATCGATATAATTAAGTAGGAACTTGTGAATTTAGGTCATGGTTTAAATGAAACGATCTTAATTGCTATCAAAATACTAGTTTTCGTGTTTGTAATCAGATGGAAAAATCTTTTCAATCTATAACACTCTTTTAATTATAATATTATAATTGAAGAGTTTGTAATAGAGAGTTTAGAAGCCGTTTAAAAAATCAAGGATCTATTCTTTACATGTGAAAGTAATGGCTTAATTAATTTATAAAATTTTAACAATTAAAAAGATTCTCAAGTTACATAAGTCATAATCGATCTTATAATCCTCTATTTATATAATCCTTTGATATTCTTAATTATTAATTGATAATTTCTTGCTCGATATCAATTTCTTCTTATATTATTTTGAAAGAATTATTCCATTAATTTCCGGAATTCGTTTCAACTTCGATAAAAGCCTCGAGAAGCCTTCTTTGATGATAATGAGAAAAGAGGATCGGATAAGTAGGAGGCGAGTTAAGGGTTCCTTAAAAGTTCTGATCGGTTAAGTGGCTCGTCTTCTTCAGTGACGAAATTCTCCATTTAATCGAAAAGTTCGATTACCCCCTAATCTGATTCGTCCACCTAACTCGGCAAAGATTTATTACGATCAGATATATTTATTGTCACGCAATCGTTCCTATCGTGTATTAATCGTTATAAAATCGTGAAGAGGTTTGAATAGCTTTAACAATCTTTTAAAAATATTTTTAAAACAGAAGAACATTACCATTCATCGATATTTCAACAAAAATTTTTTATTCCTGCTTTTTAAATCCTGTTTGAATAATGAATTATTATTATTATTTAAATAAATATATTTAAATAAATATATTTATATTATTTAAATAAATATATACGTATTTAAATAAATATTTATATTTTCACGTAAACATTTTATGACACGATCTCTTTTTGTATATGTAAAAATATAACGTGTCTCAATAAAAATCAAAACGTCAATCAAAATTCAGTGTAACTAAATTTCAATTCTAACAGTATAATCGTTAACTTTGAATTAATAATTTCATTATTTACAAAATTTTATCAAAATTCTACTATCAATATTTCCGATATATTGATCAAATCCAATCTCGATCATCGATTTCATTTTTACACAATCGTTGAAAAGAAAATTGTCTCGAAAGAAAATTTCAATCATGATTACGTAATGTAAAATTTCCAATGAATTTTTTTCTTCCAGGCATCCGGGGGATAATCCTTTCTACAGCAACATCGACAGTATGCCGGACATTCGGCCGCGCCGAAAATCGGTGCCATTGGTCTCCGAGCTGGTACGTAATCAATTCTCCATTAACCTGGCCAACGTTCCTCATGCATATATGGATATGTATAACACGTATACGGGACACGGGCACGCGTTGTCCTGGCCGTCCATATTCGTGGAAATGAACAACAAACGATGGCGACGGTGACCATTATTTCGGCCACTCGTTCATCGTCCCCGTCGACGTCGTCGTCTCGAGTCGATATTCGCCCTTGATCGTGGTCATATCGAATGATTTCTCGTTATTTTATTCTCTTGTTATTCGTGACGTGTCGATTGAGAATAATTGCGGCAGATACATATAATCCCGAGATACATCGAATTTACAATTGCAATTATTTTAATATTTCGTTTCGAGAGATTGAAAATCGTATGAATTAACTTTTGATAATCGAATAATCGGTGGTTGGGTTGAATTAATACTCTCAATTTATGGAAAGTAGAGTATGGAATCGTTGAATCGATAGGATTTTGAACTTTCTCGAATGATAATTGAATTATCGTGATTAGAATTTATTCTTTGTTTGTAAAAAATAAAAGTCGTATTAAATTTATGGAATTTATAGAAGTTTTAGAATTAATGTATAGTACAATGATTAATAAATCGGTGTTTTTTGGATATGTAGAATCTTATTATGTGTCGAGCACAGTTGGAATTTGGAAATTTTGATAGAAGGATGCAAGAAATTTTGATTCGAAATGGAAATCGGTGTCACGAAAAATTGTGGAAAAAGTTTCTCCATTAAAAACTCGCTCATTTCATCGCAAACTTGCGAAAGTGAAATCGGAATCTGTGTCACTTTCCACGCTCGCATTTCAATTCGCATTGATGACATTGGATCAACATCATCTGTTGACTAAATATTTAATTTCATTAAATATTCTTTTAAACATATGTGAATAATTAAATATAAAATAATTCGAATTTTTAACAATTTTCCATGTAACTGTGTACAATTTGAATGAAAAATAATGATGGATCGTTAATAATTACGATAACTATTACAAAAATTGTAAATTTTCATGTAAATCGTTTCTGTACATCGATTGTGTATTTTTACGTATTCAGAGAACATTCTTTCTTGATTCCACGATGGAAATTAATTAACTTTTTGCTGTGTCTGCTTATTCTTTTGATAGCAATTATTTTACCTTCAATCTTTGCTGTGGTTTTAATCTAGAATCGTTTCTTTGTCCGACTATTTTCCAGCAATTAAATTCTCTAAGCTTGTTTCAACGTAAAAAAGTTGGTAGGAAATCAACAATATTTGCAATTTGTTCAGTCCAATAAAAGATTACAAATATTGTATTCTAATTAAAAATCATTTCTTTTATTCGCTATCGTTTCATCATCCATTAATTTCATAATTGCATTTTTATCACTGTAAGGATAAACAAATTTCGTCTTTTGATATTTTTCATTCTTAAAGTTTATAATGATTAAATTTTTTTACAATAGAAAAATAACAAATTACAATTAAAATTCATAAAATACGATATAAACAAAGTTTTTATAACGATACACATTAAGATTATTCAATCGACACGTTATTTCACAACTCGAAGTAACTCGACGACCACGATCAACACGTAATTGAAAACTTCTTGTGACCAATTCAATTACCTAATCGTCCAAATATGTTGCCCCTCCTAAAACTCACAGTGCTTCATGTGAACACGAATTTTTTTTCTTTCTCAATTCGAACCTTGCTCTTCCAAAATTGAATAACACAAAATACCCTCACGAGCCTTTCTTTCCCTTCCTTCCTCTTTTTTCCTCCATAAATAATTCCATCTTACACCTCGCACATTGATACTTATCGATTCCATCTCTTTCGTGCTTCCATTCCCGCAAAACGATGACGACGATGACGACGACGTCGAACAACGTGAGGCTGTTTCTGTCGCGAGATCGATATCTGTTATACGCCGTTCGTGCCGCCTTCGAGAGACGTTTGCTCTTTAAAAAAAGAAAAAAAAACGATAGCGATCGATAGTAGTGTGTTGTAACTCTCGAGAAGAATATATACAACAATAATAAAAAAGAAGAAAAAAGAAAAAAGAAAAAGAAAAAATCGTCCTTCCTCTCTCTCTCTCTCTCTCTTTCGAGGGCGACACGAATACATCGAAAACCGATCCCTCCTCGTCGTGCAACCTGATTGCGTGTACTGCGTTTCGGTGTTACGTCATTTCTCGATAACCCAAGATTTTTCCAGAGGGGCTGTTCATAGACGACATTTCGCCGATAAATCGACCGCCATTTCTTAAACGAGGCGTGACGAGTTCGTTTCGATCCTCGAACGAACTTTCAAGGGTTTCTCGAAGGGTTGAAGTTGAGTAAAAAGTAAAAGTGGAAAGGGGAGGAGGAGAAACGTTTTTGGAGGGGAGGAGGGGGATTAATTCGAGATAAAGAAGATTTATTGAAAATCGTCTGTGAACAACCCGGGCTATTTGTATATTCCAGTTACTAGTGCTTTACAGAGTATGCTCGTTCGACGTTATCAAACTTTCTATCGAAGATATATATATATAAAACGAATAATGTTTTTGTCATCCTTGCTGTCGGGATTTGCTGTGAAATGGTGACGCAACATTCATACATTTAAGGATTCGTTTCTCGTACCTGTTGCTCATGGGGAATAGGATACGATTTCATTCACGAATAATTTCTCTGGATCTATTTCAATTAATTTTATATCAAAGAAATTACATTTCTTTTTTAAAATTCTCGCGATTTATGGGTCGTTGATTTTGAAGAAGTATATTTTCAAGTTAAAAATTATTAAGGATTTATCCAATTTATTGGGAATTAAAAATTATTTGAAAGTTATTTCACTTTGAATTCGTTAATATAGCGTTAAAAGTCAAAGGTTACGTTAGAAGATCCTCTTTAAGATAAAAAACTTAAAAGAATCTTACTTTATTCTTCGTATCTAAACACGAAATCTGCAAATCAAATTTAATATTTCTGTACGTCAAAAGAATTTCAACAAATAGAATTAAAAATCGAGTATTAAAATTAATTTAAGAATGTATTAGAACGATTCAGTTGAATTTATACAACTAAAACACTCCAATTCGTAATTTACAAGAAGATAAATGGCCGCCATTTAAAACTGCCAAGAAACATATCCAGCGAAGATCTTCCGTCGTCTCATCTATTTTTACCCATAATTTCTCAATCGTAACCGATATTTCGAAAGTTAAACCTCCATATTGGCGTTACCAATAAATTTCCTGGTTGCTTTTATAGCGTGATAAATCCACCATGCAGAGTAACATTTGCCAGATCACCATCGTTGTTGTGATTCGTACAGCTTCTCTGTAAATCATGGACTCCATTAAAGGGAATCGTGTTCGTGAAAAGCATGTCTGACACGAATTCGCGCCATAAGCGATTCTTTTCCATCCGATCCATCCGATTTCGTTATTGGGATCTGGGTCTCTGTTCACAATTGCGCCGCCATTTCACGGTCTAGCCGTCACGTGACGCGTCTAGCGGGCACAAAATGGCGCCCGCATGCGAGAAAACTACGAAAACGGCTGCAAACACTCGTGTATCGCGTGTTTCGTGATTCAAAACCGCCACCTTCCTTGCCTTATCCAACGTTCAATAATGGATCGAGGGAAAATTCTGGCAGGATTTGAGAAAATTGAATGGAAATTATGAATTTTAAGGCATGATTCTATGATACAAATATTAGTTAGAACGAATAATTTGTTCTTTTTCTTTGAAGAATTTATAATGTATAAATATTTGTATGGATCAATCATATATGGAAGAATGAAGATGGTAGGTATAATGATATAGGTTATATCATGATAAATCAATATTTCTTTAAATTTTGATACGCTTGTTAGTATATTTGTTCAAATTGAAGAAGCGTGATGAGACTGTAAAGTTTAACATATTCTTGAGATTTTATCTTATACGTGTAAAAAAGAAATTCAATAATTTATAAAATATGTATATATATATTTTGTTATATCTATAGTTGTTTGAATAAAATATAACGAAAATTCAATTTCTAAAAGACTATATTATCATGTTTTGTTATAACTACGAACAGTTATAACAGAATAGTTTCTTACTTTCAAACATTAATCTCGTTGAATCGATCTCTTGAAGAAATAGAATTTTATATTTACAACTCACGTACTTCGTACGAGAGTATATTATTTCTCTTCTAATTGTGTATCAACTTGTGTATACGATCTGATTCAATTCGATTCGCAGAAATATAAATAAACAAATAGCCGAGCAAATTCAGAGGCACGCAATTTAAATGGATTTTTCCAACAAAAAAAGATATCGCTGATAGCAATAAATAGTTTCGAGAATCAAAGATGTTCTACATATTTTTCAATGATAGAATTGTGCAAAAGAAATTACGGAATTCTTTGTTCTTGTTTAAAATCGATTTTTCCGCCTCGAATATTTTTTTGAACGACTCCTTTAAATAAATAAATATTATTTTTCGAATTAAAATTCTTTTTCGATATTACAAATAAA